GGGGGCTGCCGTCGGCAGCTCTCGGTGCCCGTCCCGGAGCCATCCCCTGCGTTTCCCCGGCCTGCCTGGTTAAGGCAGCCGGCACCGCCGGGCGCGCTTGCGGCAGCGGAGGTGAGCTGTGGGGGGAAGCGTCCCACGGGGCGGCCGTGGGGCGGCCGTGGGGCTCGGGAAGCCGGGAGGGCGTCCTTCGAGGGGCCTGGCCGCTCCTGCCTCCCTTCCCTCCCCGGCACAGCGAGTGACCGCGCCTCTCTCCCTTTTGCAGCGTGTGACGCCAGTGGAGGGGAGCAGCTCCCCGTCCTTGGCTCTCCCAGCCCGCCGCACGAAGGAAACATGGCCACGGAGACAGAGTGGTGCTGCCCATCTGCCGCGACACTCATACAGAGTGTGGTTTATGTCAGCCCTGCCCACCAGTTCTGCCTGGGCTGCATCCTGCGGTGGGCAGAGGTGAAATCAGTGTGTCCACTCTGCAGAGGACCAGTAAATATTCTCTGGTTTTCTGTGCGGGCAGAAAATGATATCTACAGTGTGTCATCACACCCTAGAACAGCTCCCAGCATCTGCCAGAAACAGCCACCTGGCTGAAAACAGCCCCCATCGTGCGTGACATCTCCAGCTGAGCAGGGGTCTGCAGGGACAGAAGCTGTGGGTGGCCTCCTGCCCCAGGTCTGGGCAGAACTCTTCCAAAGAGAAGAGCATCATCTCCTGGACCCCGTGCTGCCCTGGCTGCGCCGGGAGCTGCAGGCAATATATGGGTCCCGGTGGCGGCTGGCACACAGGGTGGAGAGCCGCATCCTGCACGCCCTGTGCCTCCATGGTCCAGATCGTGTGGTCATGGTCCAGCTGTTGCAGCCTGTCCTTGAGGAACATACAGCACCGCTGGTCGATGGCATCATCAATATCATTGTGGGCCTGTGCAGCGAGGAGGCCGAGAGGCTGCTGCGCTCCGAGGCTGCGGGGCAGGGGGAAGACAGCCCTGCGGCCAGCTCCAGCTCCAGCTCCACCACTTGCAGCTGCACCAGCTCCAGCAGCTCCAGCAGCTCCAGCTCCACCACTTGCATCTGCACCAGTTCCAGGGCGGGAACTCCCAGCCCCAGCGCCTCCCGGGGGTCACCCCCGGCCCCGGCCCCGGCCCCGGCCCCGGCCCCGGCCCCGGCCCCGGCCCGGCCGCCTCCAGCAGCCCTGCAGGCTCCGCCGGGGAGGAGGAAGGCGGCACGTCGGGGGCCGCCCTCCGCGGGGCTCCCGGCCGCCCCCCGGCCGCGCCCGCCCCGGCAGAAGCCGGGGGAGGCGGCGGCGGCAGGTCCCTCTGCCCGGGGCTGCAGCCGCAGCCCCTCCGCTCCCGGCCGGGGCAGGGACCGCTCGCCTGGGGGGCCCCGGCGCCCCCCGAAGAGGAGGGCCCCCGGCCCCCGGGACGGTCCCCAGCCCGGCAAGAGGCCGCCCCGCCGGCGCTGAGAGCAGGGCTGCCGCGTGTCCCCTTTCCCAGGAAGGGGAAATAAACTCCTTTTTCCCTGACCCCGTCTCTGAGTGCTTCTTCCTGCCCCCCGCGCCCCACCGAAGGTGGCTGTCCTGGGTTGAGTGAGTGGTGGAGTTTTTTGGTGGCAGGGGAGGGGGCTATCGGGGCGGCCCCTGTGAGAAGCTTCTCGAAGCTCCCCCAGCTCCACGTCAGCTCCACTTCTGTTTGGGAAATTGAGCCAATCGGCTGCGCCTCTGCGACAACGTATTTAAGAAGGGACGTGGTGACGGGCAGTCGGACTTGTGAGGAGGAGTTGCTGCAGCTGCATGAACACCAAGGTCAGTGGAGGAACGGAGGAAGAAAGGAGGGGGGAGGAGTGCCGGAGCAGAGACCCCCCTGTATCCTGTGGTGAGACGGCAGGGCGGCCCCCCCCCCCGCCACCCGTGAAGATCTACGGTGGAGCAGACATTGATTTACAGCCTGTTGTTCCTGCTTGGCTGATCAAGGTTCTGTGCCCGAAGAAGGCCGGGGTCTCATGGAAAAAGGTAGCCCCGCTGCTGTAATTCAGTGCTGGGAGGATTGCAGCATGCGGGGGAGTCCCACGCTGGAGCAGCTCGGGAAGGGCTGCAGCCGTGGGAGAGAATCCAGTCGGAGGAAGTTAGTGACCCATGACGGAGCAGTGTGGGGAACGCTGCGGCCCATAGGAGGAATTCAAGTCAGAGAAAGTTTGTGGAGGACTGTCTCCTGTGAGAGGGGGACCACGATGGAGCAGGGGGTAACAAGTTTTGGACACTCCCCTCACCGAAGATGAAGGAAGTGGCAGCACTGACTGCACCCCCCCATTCCCTGCCCCTGCGCCACTGGGGGAGGAGGTAGAGATATCGGGAGCAGAGCTGAGCCCGGGAAGAAGGGAGGGGTGGGGGGTGTTCTCAAGATGTGGCAATGCTTCTCACTGTCCTACTCTGTTATGTGTTGTTAGTGTCTGTAATAAATGTATGTTCTTTTTTTTCTTCCCCTAACGAGTCTGCCTTTTGCTCATGATCATAAAAGGGGGATTTTCCCCCATCCCAGTCCTATCTTGAACCCCAAGCCTGGCTCTCTGTCCCTTCTCATTGCCGGAGGGGAAGGGAGAGAGAGTGCTGCATTGTGGTTGGCTGTCAATCAGGCCTAAACCACGACAGTGGCGCCCGCCTGCTGGGGGGCACGGCCGTGGGCCCCCGCAGCCCCAGGGCCGTGTCGGCGGCGCCTCCTCCCGCTGGGAACCCTGCTGCAGCCGCCCGCCCGCAGCGCAGCGGAGGCCCAGGGCAGAGCGGGCAGGGGGTGGCTTGGCCGCAGGCCGACGGGGACCCAACTGGGCATCACCCCCGGTCTCTGCTGGCGGTCAGTGGAACCGGTCGCGATGAGCTGCAACCCTGCCCCCTCCAGCACGTGCCTCTGCACCCCACAGCGGGTGACGAAGCAGGAAGCTCTCCAGGTGGGCTGATGTCTGTGCTGCTGGAGGTGTCTGCGCCTGCGCCGGGGTTTGGGCTTCGGGTCTGTGCGTGCAGAGCTCAGGTTCAGGCGTCTTTGGAGTCGGTGAGGCAGCCCGGTGTGGAAAGGAGTGACCCGCCAGCGAAGGGGCTGGATAATCCCCCGAGTTCCGCTGTTTCTCGCGTGGCTTGGGTTCAACAGCTGCTGACCACCAGCGCTTCAGCGCCGACATCTGGCCTGCTGGTGTGCTGGAGGAGCGAGTGTCACAGCCGCTCTCCCTGCCGCAGACGGCCCGTGGATTTGCGCCGCTGTAATGTGGAGAACGTTCACAAGAGGGTGCAGAGACCTGATCTTTCTGCTGGGTTCAGCAGCTGCCGTGTCGCGTGGCAGTAGGAATCACGGCAGCGGGCTCCTTTGTAGATGCCCCATTGCTTCTCCCCAGAAAAGAGCCCTCGGAACTCTGCTTTATAACAACAGGCTCCTGCCTCCCTTGGCTGTGCCCTGGCATCCAGAGGAGCCCAGCTGCTGTCACGGGAGGCGTGAGAACAGACACAGATGCGGAATGGTGCCTCTTGACAGATCTCATCCCTGCAGGGCGCAGAGAAGCAGTGCCTGAGGCGAACTGGTGCTTATGCCCTGGGAAATGCCTCGTCAGCTTTCTGCCCGGGTCTCTCCCGGAGGCTTTGCTTTAGGAGAGGGGTGACCTGGAATCCAGAGGACGGTCATTGGTTCTGACAGGGATGGACTTTCTTAACGTTGAACCCAGCCTCAACTCTCCCTCAGTGCCCTGAACTGCGTGAGAAACAACTTCTTGCTGTGTTTTGGGGAATGCAGGGGGACTGGTTTCAGCAAAGGCCAGACCTGAGGGTGAGAGCTTCTTCCACAGCTCTCCCACTTCCGCATTGCCAGCCGAGGAACTGATGGCTGCCCCGGCTGCAGCGTCTCTGTGCCACGGAGCAGCTCAGCAGTGGACACGAACGCACACGGGTCTCGTCAGAGTTATCACGCTGGGGGTGCTGGCTGTGCCAGCAAGCAAGGTTGGACAAGGAGCCGTGTGTGTGCCCTTAAGCCCAACTCCGTCGCTTTGGCAATGCCTCCAGGTGCCGTTACAAATGCACATCATCGGGGTCTTGGGAAGGCTCCCGGTGCAAAGTGCCCCCGGTGCCCTCCCCTGTCCGTGGGACCGGCTGTGGCTTAAGCTGCATAAGCAGAACCTGTGTCCGCGGCAGGGAGGAAAGAGGCGATGGCTAGATTACTGCCTGGCTCCCCAAAACACGACTTAGGGATACATTTTCACAACGAACACCGGCCCTTTCCCCACTGCTTGCCACACACAGGGCTGTCACTTGCACCACCTCCCTCCCATCACAGTGGGACAGGACCACCTCCCGACCCTGCCCTTTGCCTCCGTGTCTTCTGTGCGCAGGCACCGACCTCCCCTAACTGCCCACGTGCACCTGAACAGCGATGACGGGCTGCAGGGCGTCACTGTTTCCATACTCTTAATTCCTTCCCAGACACCTCCAGCTCACGGCGGGTACCTTTGCCAAGTCATCTCAGCCTCAGTCACCATCACGCTGGGGTCTTTTTCAGTATAAAATGTCTCATCCACCTAAAATAAAGCTCTTGATAAGATTAGTCTTATAAACTGTGTGGATGCTGAGGCGGTACGCTCCAGATTGGCCCACAGTAACAGAGTGTCAGGATCTCAGGAAACGGCTTCTGCACGCCCCCCGTGCCTTTGTCTTGGTTGCAGAGCAGAGGCAAGCACGAGGCCCACGGTTTGACGGACATGACCCCCCCCCCATCCTTGAGAAACCACTGTGAAAACAGAGGTGACATCATTTTGTGAAGGACACAGCGTTCTTCCACTCACACAGGCCATGAAAAATAGGTGGCAAAATCAAACACGTGAGGCACAATTTATGTCATAAATGTACGGCAAATTTGAACCACTGGCAGTTAGTCAGGTTGTTGGCTTCTGGTTTGCGGGGACCGGTTGTCCCTGCAGTGCTGTGGCTTAGGCCATAGGGTAGTTCATGTCGCGTGACTGATCTGACACTGAGCCCGGTAAAGGCATTCCAGCCTGTTCGGATGTTCTTCGCGTCTCCCTGCTGAGGCAACCAGGAATTACAGGTTCATGCGAGTTCATCTGTACAAAGCCACAGAACACCTCCTTTCTCATGCAGGAACCTAGCAGATACAGTCCGCTATTGGCAGGGATCGCTAATGTGATGCAGGAAGACTCATCCTCGAACAGTTTTCCGCTCCTCGTCCTGGAAGAAAAGTTTATGCTTGCAGTGTTGTCCAAGGACAAAACCAATACAGACGTTCAGGAACAGAATTTTTTGTACCCAAATGGAAGCTGCATCTTCTTAGTGCGATCTCTCAGCCATGGCATCAGTTGAGGCAGGTACCGAGAGGTAACCCTCATTTCAGACCGCAGGGTTGAAACCGGGAAGACCAGTCGAGAGAACGAGAACTAGACCCTGATGGAAGCGGGACAAAACCCGCCTTCGGGCGACCGTTACCGCCGCGACGCGGCCCGCGGGCGCCATCTTGTGGGCAGGCGGCCATTAGCCGCGGGCGCGCCGGTCACGTCCCCCTTCTCCTGAGGGGGCTCCCGGGCGGCCGGGCCGATCGGTACGGCCGGCGCTGCGGAGCGCGCGGGCCCCGCCGGTCGGAGCGGCGGCGGCTGCCGGCCCCAGGGTGCCCTGAGGGGGCTCATGTCGGGGGCGCTGGCGGCTGTTTCCAGCACAGCGCCCAACAGTGACCTGAGTGCACGAGTTGTGGGGGCGTGACGGCTCCGAGGCTTTCAGAATTCCCTTGTTTCCCCTTTCTCTCCGAGCACTTGATTTACGGATGAAAGACTTCGCAACTCAGGGTTGTAAAGCAGGTATGCTTATTCGGCGCCGGGCGCACGGCGGAACGCTCCCCCGCAACAAGCGTGCGCGCCCCCCTGCCGTTCTAGTCTTGCTTATATGTTACAGTGTGTTGCGTATTCATGAGACGCGTATACATATTCATAACCTATTCCCGCCTACCCTCGCTTCTTATTATAATTAGGTCTCCTCCTCCTTGCGGCTGCGCAGTGAGCTCCTTTGGTCCGGGGCAGGGGTCGTGAAGAGCTGGGCAGTGGTCGGGGCAGGAAGTATCTCCTCTACCTCACTGCTGGACTTTTCATCCTGAATTCCTGCGCAGTCTCTGTCGCCTCCTGGACCCGGGCTAAACCGCAGAGCGGGTTTGTGCCGGTTGGGAGGTGATATTTTGCTGATACACACTTATTTAAGGAAAGGAAAGGGGGGCCCTGTTTTGAACAGGAAATAGAGGCAGAGCGATACAAGCAATGTGTCTTGTCTCGTGCAAGCATGATACCAAATTTGGCTAATATCCCATTTCACACTGACCCTTGTTTCAGATCTGCTGAGGGTTCTCCTCTTGGCTGCTGCCTGGGGAACGCTCACTAAGACCTGGCAGCTTGTACTTTATGACAGGCCATCCATTTGCTACTGAGTGCCGAAGGCACCCTCTGTGGTGGCTGGAGGAAGTGCCCTGAGCCCTTCTGGAATACGTGCTCATTTCATGGCTGATGCGCCTGCAGGAGATGAGATTTAGTGATCCAGGTAATCCCTGTTTCTGTCTTGCCGCTGCTTTCCTAGCAGTTCAGTGGACGTGCACAGTGGACTCTGTGCCATGAATAAGCGCAGTTCCCCTTGAGGGATCTGGGCCCCCAGAGGAGGAGGCACATCCAGACGGCCCAAGTACCAGGCTAGCCCCGGTCTCCTGGGCTTTTCGTATGACCTCAGAACTACTTTTAGCCCAAGCCTATTGGGAGTTTGGGCTGCATCGGTACGCGACATAGGCATCACAAGGGTGGAAGGGTTTATCGTTATCATTATTGCTGTTTTCATGCGGCAAAGGCTCTTCTGGGCTTTCTCTATCTAAACATCCCGAGTCAGTGCGAGTGCCAAGTGACAGTTTGTATTCGCAAAGCACGCGTGTCCGTACCACAGTTCGGTGTTTGCCTTGTCAGTAAATGGAAAAATACAGTTCCTGTGATGGAATTCTCACATTACAGCAAGACATCCCAATTTCGGCATTTCTGAACACCTGCCAGTGCAGAGCCTGGCTCCTGCCACCTGTGGGCATTGGTTTTCTTCATGCATTGCTGTGAAGTGTGGGAGAAGCGAAAGAGTGAAAAAACTGTAAAATGCGTATTTCCTTAACACTTGGTGCCCCAAACAAGCACAGGACAGTGAGAAGATCCAGTGTTTTGTGTTGTCATGGCGCCACGGAAGAATGTGAATTGGAGGCCACGTGGTCCTATTCTCCCACTTTTCTCAAGGAATATTTGACAGAATTATACAGGTTTATCTCCTGCTCTTCCCCTTTTCTCAAGGAATGTTTTGCACAACTCCGCAGACACTCTCTCCCATGCTTCCGCTTTTCCTACCGTAACTGCGTGCACATTGTGCCAAGGAATGTGCTGTATCTTTATTCCAGAAACAACGGATTGACCACAGTCCCACCCACTCGCACATACACATCCAGATAAATACTACCCCAAGTTTGTATGTAACTCAGAGGGACGATAATCTGACAGGTCCTGCAGAGGCCGAGGAAAGCCTTGGGCAGGTCCCAGCGCTGGAGGTGGCCGGGCTGGCCACGAAAGGCTGGCTCGGCTGGCTGGGCTCTGCCTTCCCAACGGCGGCAGCCCGTGCTTGCCCTCGCCGCGCAGTGACTCGCAGGCAGCCAGCCCTCAGCTGCCGCGCCCGCCCTGTCCCGGGTCTCGGCCCTGCCCGGCTTCACCCCCGGCTGCTCTGCGCTCTTCTCGCTGCAGACTGGTTGGGGCACGAGGGCCCACGAGACGCCACCCGGAGCAGCGGGCTGGGCTCGGCCGCTCCTCTGAGAGCTACGGGCCTGAGCCCGGCGCTGGGGCGCTGGGGCGCTGGGGGCCCTTCTCCCCGGCCACAGAGCTGAGGCCCTTTTCTGCTGTGTCCTTTAGCAAGGGGGAGAAGACGAGGCTGCTGGAGCGCCGCGGGAGGGCCCAGGGACTGCCCGCCATGCCAAGGAGCTGCGAGCAGCCCCGAAGAGCTGTCACGGCGCCCACCCTTTCCAGCCGGAGAGCTGCCAGCAACGGTGACGTGTGGAAAACAGATTCCACAATCTGATAGATTGTAAAGTAGGTAAGTTTATTCAGCGCTGGGCACACAGGGGATCGCTCCTCCTAATGTGTGTGCTGCCATGTGGCACCGTTGCCTTAGATTTATAGAGCAAATGATTACATATTCATAATATTTCGCAATACGCCTATACATATGCATCACCTATCCCCGCTTCGTATTAAAATTAGCATTTCCATGATCTCCTCCCAGTTGAGTCTGCGCAGTGAGTTCCTTTGGTCCTGGGCAGGGGTCGTGAAGGACTGGGCGGTGGTCGTGGGAGGAAGTATCTCCTCTTCCTCAGTGCTGAACTTTTCACCCGAATTCCTGCGCAGTCTCTGTCAACCCCTGGACCCGCAGAGCAGGTTTGTGCCGGTTGTGGGGTAATCTTCTACTGACACCCACTTACTCAGGGGTGGAGGAGGCTTTGTACTTAAACAGGAGATAGTGGTCGAGCAACACAAACACAGCAATATCTGTCTCGCACAAGCTAAGCAAACTCTTATCTCGACTATTTCCCTCGTCATCCCCTTCTTGCTATTCCCATATTAACCCTTACATCCCCTGTTCCTATCTAGGCCCTGTATCAACGGGTGGCAGGGGCGAGGAGCGCCTTTCCAAGGGGAACGTGCCAAATTAAGGCTGCTGGTGCCTGGGCCCAGCCAGCGTGGCCGTGCTGCTGCCTGCCTTGCCTTTCTCTGCGGCCACGGGCACGGGAGGGGCCCCGCAGCCCCCTGCTCGGAGGGGTCTCTGGGCAAATGGCCAGAGGACTGGTCCTGCCAGCCGGTCACCACAGGCCATGCGACCAGGAGCGCGGTGTCCCTTCCAGGACATGGGCCTCAAGGTCTTCAGAGCACAGCTTCTCTGCATCTAAACACCACTTTTCATGGATGACCAGAGCTCCGTGGCTGGTCACATCACTCTTAGAGCAGATTCACACTGCCAAAAGAAAATGGTGGGCCTGATGCTCCTTGAAAGGCTACACTCCTTAGATGAGCCCTTGGCTAACTGTTGGGCCTGATGCTCCTTGAAGGGCTACACTCCTTAGATGAGCCCTTGGCTGACCGTCAAGAACTGTCCAATGACCTTTGCAGAATGTTTATTCATTTAGGAAGGAGCATAACTTTTGAAAAAGCCCTTTTTTTGCCAGGTAAAGCACTGCACACAGGAGAAAACCATGATTTGAAAGGGTAAAAGAGCACTAGGAGCAGTATGTGCAACTAAGCCGGACATGTCTGGAACATGAGGTGACTCTTGCCTCCCAATTTGTCCACTGTTTGCTCAGGCCTTGGCAACAGCCGCTCTGAACCCTTGTACTGAGCACTGAGCAGTATAAGTGCTCTGCTGCTACTGCAGTGTTAGCAGTATTCAGCCTGCATGTTCTTTGGAGCTCAGACCAACCTCACAAAAGGGAGCAAATTCCAAAATGTGTCTTCTGGCATCCTCAGAAAACTACAACACAAGCGGAATTGCTGGAAAGTTGGGATGAGTGTCGTGAAGGAAGCGGTAGACTGGATTGAATAGAGTATGCACAAGTCCATGGGACCCTGGAATAGGCCTCCCGTGGTCCTGAGCGAACAGGCAGATGTCATTTCCACGCCAGCCTCTGAAATGTCACGGCAGTCAGGCAAAGACCCCGGTGACTGGAAAAAGGGAAACTGCACACATTTTCAAACGAGGTAATAAGGAGGCCCCTGGGAACTGCTGAGCACTCAGCCTCACCTCAGTGCCTGGTAAGATCATGGAACAGATCCTCCTGGAAGTTATGTTGAAGTTATACGTGAAAGTCCTCTGCAGCACCTTGGCCTGAGTTGCAGCAACAGAGCTGCAAAGTCCTTCCTCGCCCTGTTACACTAGAGAGCGTGAGCGGCTGCTCTTGCTATGCGGTTGCACAACAGGAGAGATCACAAGAAGAGTCTCTTCTTGGGTGCATTGATTGCAGCATGTCAGATTAAACAAACTATTCCAAGCATGTGAGAGCTCTGTTCATGACAAGCTGCTGCAGTGAAGCTTTGTGTGCTGGTATTCCAGACTTCTTAGTTTGAGCTGTTAAACACCTCACACCAGCTTGGTTATGCAGCTTTATAATTATACATGGTTTGCTTGCTAACAAGAAGTCAACTGTTAAGGCCTTGAGAATGAATCCTGTTTCATTCATGTGTACCCCAGCACGTCTGGGGTTTTTAGAACCTGCTGTGTATTACTGTCCATTTGTCAACATTAAACTTTTTTCACCATCTGTCAGGCCATTTGCAGAGCAATTCCAAATCCTTATTAAATCTGTTTGAAACTGGCTTAAGGCTCAGCATTTCACTTTCTCCATCAACACTCCATGGAGGTGATCTGCACAGAAGAAAACAACAGGGGCTTCAGTTCTAGTCCCCTTCGAGACCTACTTTAATACTTGGCCCAGCTTGAAGAGGTCCTTCAGTATTGTGCTGTCTTCTGTTTTATGGACCATTACCTTATTGGGTCTTTTAACTGGGATCCTCACTACCGAGTGTTGTGCAGAAGCTTGGCAGAAAGTGAAACTTTTTAAAGTTCAGATATTCTACGCTATTATGTGAGCTGTTCATCTGTCTCAGCAGTGCTAGCAGGGACATAACTTCCTGTTTGTCTTGAAGCTATTCCTGAGGTTTTGTTTAAGGCCTTCCAAATCACAGCAAATGGCTCTTCTAAACTTATTGAATACTAACTTGTGAATTAAACTACACATATACGTGTCTGTGGCCGAAGAGATGAATTAGAAGCAGAAATAAGAAGTTTTCTTTTAGGTATATTATGAGAACAAATCCAAATTGCTGGCAGCTTGTCAAGCTTGAAAGAAGATTTGTTCATTCACACATAAAGCACTGCAAGTTACCCAGATAACGGAAAGGAGATTTTCCTCCTTTCTATCATTCCCATGGTTTTTCCCTTTTAATAAATTTGTTCTTGAGTTGGCTTGATTTAGCCAAGCAAAAATGATAGAAGAATTTATTTTGTCACAGTTGGTGTCCAGTCAGGCAAGACAAAGCAAAATAACATGCAGGGGAACTAGTTCAGCTTTTTTAGCTTGGGCTGAAGAGTGTTGCCTCTGCATTGGTTCTTACCTTACCTTCCTCTTTTAGGTCACAAGACAGCTTTAAATCTGAGCAGGGAAAGTAAATGGATGTTACCGGGAATTAGACTTTCATAGGAAATGCTGAGAGACAAACTGTCTTTTAAAGCTCTGTGTGTGTGTGTGTTGGATGTATTTCTCATGCAGCACAAAACTCAGACATTCATTTACTCAGCAAGTGAAATCATTACTTAATTTGATCATTGACTGTTTCCTTGCTTTTCCCTGGATGTGGGATGGGGCTCTGCCTTGGGAGCTGAGGCTTTAAGGATGCTGAGATGCGTGGAGTTGTGACTCTTAGTGGCCAACAAAATGAGCAATCAAAGAACTGGAGGGAGAGTCCTGGGAAACTCCAGTTGTTTCTGAACACGCGTGTAAGTAATATTGCATCAAAACTTTGTTAGGAATTCCCAGGGAAGCTGAGGTTGCACAAAGGCCTGTTTAGGAGAAAATGTCTGTCGACAAACTACAATAAACTGTACATCCTTTTTCACTTTGGAGTTTGGTTGGGAAGAATCCCATCAGTTTTCTCAGGGGCCAGAAAATGCACAGACCAAGGAAGTTCTATAGGAAAACCCAGCGTTTTCTTTTAAAACTTTGACTTTCCCTTTCTTTGTCATGAGAATGAACATTCAAAGCAAAATTCTAAGTTAATGGATGATGTGTAGAGAAATCTTTCGCTTGCCATGTGAAATCTCAGTCTTGAGTTAAGGGCCTGTTGCGTTCTCAGGGATGAAGAAGGTTTTTAATGCATGGTAAAATATGAAAGTGATATCCTTAGATCACTTCAGGGTAGAGGAAAATTACCATTTTTAGTGCACATGTATTGTCGGAAGTCAACGTTATTCTGCCTTGCTGTGGTGTGATGTTTTAGGATATTGACAAAATGCTGGGTACTTTTCCAAAGCTTTGCTTGAAACTTGGCATCATTTACATTCATCGCCAAAGTGCTTCAATTCATTTACGGTTAGAAAAAAGAAGAAAACCAAAACTTGGCATCATTTACACTCATTGCCAAAGTGCTTCAATTCATTTACAGTTAGAAAAAAGAAGAAAAACAAACCAAAACAAAACAGACCAACTTCTTCATCGCTATGTTCATATGCATAACTGGCAATCCAGTGGTACAGTATGTCAGTGGTTTCAGTACCATAAAGACCTGCACACGAGCCAACTCCCACACATTGTGCTGCCTTAATTTGACTCTTATAAGAGGAAACAACACATGCCTGCGGAGAGACCGAATGACTGCAAATGTGAAAATCATGAACCAGAGCCTCTGGAGAGCAAGAAGCATTCGGGCAGGGAGTACTGGTAGGGAGCAGGCAGGAACTTTTATGAAGGAGAAAAAATAGTCAAATGAAGGAAGCCTTTTCCTTTCAGCCACAGATATGCAGTGCTTGTACCTAACCAATTGCATTTAACCCTCTCCATGATTTTAAAATACTTTGAGGAAAGGTGTCCAAACATAGGTGTAGTCATCAGATACGCAGCATTCCTTTAACCTGTCTCAGGGAGAACGGAAAGCTGGAAAATAGCATACCGTCCCAGTGCCACCTGGTTCTGTATGATAGTGTAAGATCCGTAAGGTCTTCTCCGCCACTGCCAATTCCTATTTGTACATCCAGAAAGCTTGCTCTGAGGGAAGTGGGGGGAAGCAGTCGCTTTACCAACTCCTTGTTAGAACGTGAAGCTGCCGCAAGTTGCCTGCTCTTTGTGACTCCGCAGGGAGAAAGCAGCAGCTGAACAGGGTCCTGTTAAAGACAGGTGAGCTCAGGGGCCTGTTGCCCACTGTGACCAACACCTCACCCCTGGGAAAAATGGTAAGTTGAGTGAGCATGACAGCCGTCCCCTGAATGCCCTCCGACAACGTGGGGCCCTGCTGTTCAGGTTGTCCCAGAGCAAGAGAGATTTTTTCTGCCAGCCGTGCCCTGTGAGGAGAATAATGGACTCCGGCAACTCTGTAAGAGTCATAAATCCAAGACGTTTGTTGCCGATACAAGCGCGCTGTTTATATATCCTCCTAGCAACTGATCACACATAAACAAAAAGCTTGATGGGTTACATGCATTCTTCACACGCTGTCCATGCGCCTAAGGCTAACATCTGATTGGTCACTACCCTCTGTCCGTAATACACCAGACAGCTCATCGGCTACAAGTCCGTTACTGCTATCCTAGGCCTATTGGTTCATTAAATCTCACACGCACAAACACAACGTTCTATGCACCTTTAGCTCAAGGTAGAAAACTCTCCACTGTTTAAGAAACGGCCAGATGTTTTCCATTAACCGTCGCCTTGCATGTTTTCCTCAGACAAAGCTCGGCATCCTTGTCTTGTTTTTCTGCATTCCTGTTTGCTAGTCCCGAGGCTTCTGGCCGACGAAGGTCCAGATGTCCTCATCATGCACCAGCTGTACAGCGCGCTCAGTTCTTCTTCCTCTTTTCGCGTCCCTTTGGCGATGTAGCCAAAGACTTGCTCTTGTCCAGCGTTGCCATCGTCCTCCAAAAACGATCCCACAGCCCTATGGGTTTTTCTTTCCAGAGATTTTTTTCCCAGCCCTTTTTCAGTGCGCACCATTTTAAACAGCAGCTGCCAACCACTTCCTTTCAGCACTGCCGCGATTGGAAGAGGCAGCTCAGTACTCATTTTTTTTTTGCCACTTCTCACGGTTGTAAGCTTTCCATTAAACGTGCAGCTTCCTTTTTCCAGAGTGAAAATTCTTGTCTGCGGGCTTTTCCAGGGTAGTCTGTGTCTTGTTGTTTGTTTACTGGAAAGTCTGAGTGGACAACTGCATTTATACATGTGTGACTTGCAGATTTTACACAACAGAAACAAAGAAGGAGGATGCAGTTTTAGTGGTGTGAACACGGTTATTGGAATATGAATACAGTATTAGTGGTAGTGTGGCATGGTGTACACAGTATGTGGCAGCCCAAACGTAATACTGGTTCAGTGACAGCATCTTTTGTCTGTAAACAAGACCTAGGAGGCAGAGTGGCTTCCTCTTTTCCTCTCACATCCCGTGGTGGTCTGTAGACTTGCCATGCACTTCAGCCCTTACCTTATGGTCCATGTGAAGGTGTTTCCACTGGGTTTTTTTGGAACTTTTCCGCTGGGGTTTTCGGATGGCAAAAGAAAGAGAACCTGAGACTTAACAAGTGACAGTACTGCAGTTTAGTAAGTTTAAAGTAGTGGGTACAGATAACGGGTTTTTATGAGAATGTTTCGAGCTATCCAGCTTCAAGAGGAAATCAAGTTTTATCCGCTGGCTCTGACGAGCAGGCTGGGGAGATATCACTGAAAATAACTGCTAGAATGTAGAGCTAAATCATGCACAGACATAAATTTACAGTTTTGGGTAGTGGAGGCGAATAATATAATATCTGCATTGAAATGTGTTGCATGTCTTTTTTAAAAAAAAATGAAGCGGAAAAAAAGTATTTACAGAGAGTTACCAACAATTGTCACATTTCAATTTCCTCATGAATGGTTTTATGGGCTGCACTCGTGGAAACACCTTTTTAAAGGGAAGGTTAACATGGTTATGTCAAATACAAACTGGATATTTTGTATAATGTAATGTTATGTGTACCTAACCCATACAATTTACTAAACGTTCATTCTGTTAAATAAAGTGAATGTAACAGTGCCACTGCAGTCTTTGACGAAGCAATAAGCCAGTTGTCAGGTGGATAAACTTTGAAGCCAAAGGGAAGGAACAGTCTTGTATGAATGGGATACCACATGAACTATGCAGCTTGGGTCAATATGTATACATATTTGTGTCTTTGTCTGTTTAAAAATAAATAGCTGTTTGTGCACTGAATGCAAAGTGAAGAAGTACAAGGGTGTACTGGTTTTGGCCAGGATGGAATTATAATTTCTTCATAGTAGCTTGATTAGGTCTAGGAGCAGTATGGTGCTTATCTGTCACGCGGGGTTAAACCACAACACAGGGAGACAGTGGAAATTATTATACCAGGACGGCCAATGCACACTTCCATAGAAAAGGCAACATATCATGCTGGTGGAGAAAAGTTTCAACTACAAATCTCACTTTTATTTGTTCAGTAGTGTAATAAATAAGCTAAAAAGGCAAAAAGTCCCATAGTGTGGCCACTACAACCACTTTGCTAAGAAAATTCTCCAACGCTTTTGACTTATGAGAAAAATAGTTGTGAATCATCCAGAAAAATTTTCCGTACCTCTGTCATAAAGAATTAAAAGAGAAAGATAAAAGCAGATCACACCTAGGCATTCAAATCCTACCATATGATACGATGAGGAAGAATGTCTGACTTATCTGAAAACTATTTTTTTGCATCTAATTGCTGCCACATGATGACTGTCTAAGCTGAGTATATTCTACATAAAGCTTCTCCCAAGTATGTGCTTAAAATGAGAGACACCGTGTCTATGCGATCAGAAGGAGATAATTCTAACTCACTCTCTTTGCATAGAAAGTATACTTGCCCTTTGGGTTAAGAAAGTATGTTTTGATGTGAGACATATGAATCTAATTCTACGACTCTATTTTTCAGGTAATCATAGGTGAAACACAGGGAAACTGAATTGAATTCACCTTTGAATAAGTGGGAAAGCAGAAAAGTTTCTTTGTTCATCGCTACCGCACTCTTTCTCCATTCCTTTAGTGTGTATTTACAATATAGTTTTTTAAACAGGAAAGTAAATCAAGATTGTAGAATGCTGCTGTATGAAAAACATGATCAAATTCAGATCCCTTTTATGGTAGGATGAACGACAGCTAAAAGTCATCAACATACTTATTCCATAATGCAATCTATCTTAAAATCCTAAAAACCCATTATGTAAATTGGGCTAGTATATGAATGAGAAATGTTTTGAAAAACTTCAACTGTTTAAAAAACCCATCTTTTCATTTCAGAAAAGAAAGTTTATACGATGAGTGTATCTGTTTATGCTTATTAATTGACAGTGGTTCCTCTGAACCCGCCAGGGTTTCTTATTCACAATATAAAATTCATCATAAGCATTAATCTTTACAACATTGGATTGAAAGTATTTACTATTCACCTTCTGGATCTGGCCTGCATTAATGATACTGATGAAGTCAGTATTTTTCAGAGAAGATATAAACTTGGAGTTCCAAGTGATAATGACTCTCCTGGATTTCATGATTCTCTGGACTCTTGGACAATTTCACTTCAAACAGTTGTTTTAGGACCATCTAATTTTTTTCCTTTTCTGAAAGAATGTCCTTTGTGGACATCCTTGGAACTGGCTTGAACACTCTGGTGGCCTTCGGATTATAGGATGATCGGCTATGATTCAGTATCTCCTTGAAATGCTACTTGTTTTTGAAGAACTACCATGTTTTAAAGTAGGAGTTGTTGCCTGTCGAATAATGATGACCCAAGCATTTAGGTACAATTTTAGTGTTTATTGGACACCTGAATTATTTTTCTTGCTGTCCTGGGTTGAGTGAGTGGTGGAGTTTTTTGGTGGCAGGGGAGGGGGCTATCGGGGCGGCCCCCTGTGAGAAGCTTCTCGAAGCTCCCCCAGCTCCACGTCAGCTCCACTTCTGTTTGGGAAATTGAGCCAATCGGCTGCGCCTCTGCGACAACGTATTTAAGAAGGGACGTGGTGACGGGCAGTCGGACTTGTGAGGAGGAGTTGCTGCAGCTGCATGAACACCAAGGTCAGTGGAGGAACGGAGGAAGAAAGGAGGGGGGGGAGTGCCGGAGCAGAGACCCCCCTGTATCCTGTGGTGAGACGGCAGGGCGGCCCCCCCCCCCGCCACCCTGAAGATCTACGGTGGAGCAGACATTGATTTACAGCCTGTTGTTCCTGCTTGGCTGATCAAGGTTCTGTGCCCGAAGAAGGCCGGGGTCTCATGGAAAAAGGTAGCCCCGCTGCTGTAATTCAGTGCTGGGAGGATTGCAGCATGCGGGGGAGTCCCACGCCGGAGCAGCTCGGGAAGGGCTGCAGCCGTGGGAGAGAATCCAGTCGGAGGAAGTTAGTGACCCATGACGGAGCAGTGTGGGGAACGCTGCGGCCCATAGGAGGAATTCAAGTCAGAGAAAGTTTGTGGAGGACTGTCTCCTGTGAGAGGGGGACCACGATGGAGCAGGGGGTAACAAGTTTTGGACACTCCCCTCACCGAAGATGAAGGAAGTGGCAGCACTGACTGCACCCCCCCATTCCCTGCCCCTGCGCCACTGGGGGAGGAGGTAGAGATATCGGGAGCAGAGCTGAGCCCGGGAAGAAGGGAGGGGTGGGGGGAAGGTGTTCTCAAGATGTGGCAATGCTTCTCACTGTCCTACTCTGTTATGTGTTGTTAGTGTCTGTAATAAATGTATGTTCTTTTTTTTCTTCCCCTAACGAGTCTGCCTTTTGCTCATGATCATAAAAGGGGGATTTTCCCCCATCCCAGTCCTATCTTGAACCCCAAGCCTGGCTCTCTGTCCCTTCTCATTGCCGGAGGGGAAGGGAGAGAGAGGTGCTGCATTGTGGTTGGCTGTCAATCAGGTCTAAACCACGACAGTGGCGCCCGCCTGCTGGGGGGCACGGCCGTGGGCCCCCGCAGCCCCAGGGCCGTGTCGGCGGCGCCTCCTCCCGCTGGGAACCCTGCTGCAGCCGCCCGCCCGCAGCGCAGCGGAGGCCCAGGGCAGAGCGGGCAGGGGGGAAGGTGGCTTGGCCGCAGAGCCGACGGGGACCCAACTGGGCATCACCCCCGGACTCTGCTGGCGGTCAGTGGAACCGGTCGCGATGAGCTGCAACCCTGCCCCCTCCAGCACGTGCCTCTGCACCCCACAGCGGGTGACGAAGCAGGAAGCTCTCCAGGTGGGCTGATGTCTGTGCTGCTGGAGGTGTCTGCGCCTGCGCCGGGGTTTGGGCTTCGGGTCTGTGCGTGCAGAGCTCAGGTTCAGGCGTCTTTGGAGTCGGTGAGGCAGCCCGGTGTGGAAAGGAGTGACCCGCCAGCGAAGGGGCTGGATAATCCCCGAGTTCCGCTGTTTCTCGCGTGGCTTGTGTTCAACAGCTGCTGACAGCACCAGCGCTTCAGCGCCGGCATCTGGCCTGCTGGTGTGCTGGAGGAGCGAGTGTCACAGCCGCTCTCCCTGCCGCAGACGGCCCGTGGATTTGCGCCGCTGTAATTGTGGAGAACGTTCACAAGAGGGTGCAGAGACCTGATCTTTCTGCTGCTGGCTTCAGCAGCTGCCGTGTCGCGTGGCAGTAGGAATCACGGCAGCGGGCTCCTTTGTAGATGCCCCATTGCTTCTCCCCCAGAAAAGAGCCCTCGGAACTCTGCTTTATAACAACAGGCTCCTGCCTCCCTTGGCTGTGCCCTGGCATCCAGAGGAGCCCAGCTGCTGTCACGGGAGGCGTGAGAACAGACACAGATGCGGAATGGTGCCTCTTGACAGATCTCATCCCTGCAGGGCGCAGAGAAGCAGTGCCTGAGGCGAACTGGTGCTTATGCCCTGGGAAATGCCTCGTCAGCTTTCTGCCCGGGTCTCTCCCGGAGGCTTTGCTTTAGGAGAGGGGTGACCTGGAATCCAGAGGACGGTCATTGGTTCTGACAGGGATGGACTTTCTTAACGTTGAACCCAGCCTCAACTCTCCCTCAGTGCCCTGAACTGCGTGAGAAACAACTTCTTGCTGTGTTTTGGGGAATGCAGGGGGACTGGTTTCAGCAAAGGCCAGACCTGAGGGTGAGAGCTTCTTCCACAGCTCTCCCACTTCCGCATTGCCAGCCGAGGAACTGATGGCTGCCCCGGCTGCAGCGTCTCTGTGCCACGGAGCAGCTCAGCAGTGGACACGAACGCACACGGGTCTCGTCAGAGTTATCACGCTGGGGGTGCTGGCTGTGCCAGCAAGCAAGGTTGGACAAGGAGCCGTGTGTGTGCCCTTAAGCCCAACTCCGTCGCTTTGGCAATGCCTCCAGGTGCCGTTACAAATGCACATCATCGGGGTCTTGGGAAGGCTCCCGGTGCAAAGTGCCCCCGGTGCCCTCCCCTGTCCGCGGGACCGGCTGTGGCTTAAGCTGCATAAGCAGAACCTGTGTCCGCGGCAGGGAGGAAAGAGGCGATGGCTAGATTACTGCCTGGCTCCCCAAAACACGACTTAGGGATACATTTTCACAACGAACCGGCCCTTTCCCCACTGCTTGCCACACACAGGGCTGTCACTTGCACCACCTCCCTCCCATCACAGTGGGACAGGACCACCTCCCGACCCTGCCCTTTGCCTCCGTGTCTTCTGTGCGCAGGCACCGACCTCCCCTAACTGCCCACGTGCACCTGAACAGCGATGACGGGCTGCAGGGCGTCACTGTTTCCATACTCTTAATTCCTTCCCAAGACACCTCCAGCTCACGGCGGGTACCTTTGCCAAGTCATCTCAGCCTCAGTCACCATCACGCTGGGGTCTTTTTCAGTATAAAATGTCTCATCCACCTAAAATAAAGCTCTTGATAAGATTAGTCTTATAAACTGTGTGGATGCTGAGGCGGTACGCTCCAGATTGGCCCACAGTAACAGAGTGTCAGGATCTCAGGAAACGGCTTCTGCACGCCCCCCGTGCCTTTGTCTTGGTTGCAGAGCAGAGGCAAGCACGAGGCCCACGGTTTGACGGACATGACCCCCCCCATCCTTGAGAAACCACTGTGAAAACAGAGGTGACATCATTTTGTGAAGGACACAGCGTTCTTCCACTCACACAGGCCATGAAAAATAGGTGGCAAAATCAAACACGTGAGGCACAATTTATGTCATAAATGTACGGCAAATTTGAACCACTGGCAGTTAGTCAGGTTGTTGGCTTCTGGTTTGCGGGGACCGGTTGTCCCTGCAGTGCTGTGGCTTAGGCCATAGGGTAGTTCATGTCGCGTGACTGATCTGACACTGAGCCCGGTAAAGGCATTCCAGCCTGTTCTCGATTTCGGATTTCGCGTCTCCCTGCTGAGGCAACCAGGAATTACAGGTTCATGCGAGTTCATCTGTACAAAGCCACAGAACACCTCCTTTCTCATGCAGGAACCTAGCAGATACAGTCCGCTATTGGCAGGGATCGCTAATGTGATGCAGGAAGACTCATCCTCGAACAGTTTTCCGCTCCTCGTCCTGGAAGAAAAGTTTATGCTTGCAGTGTTGTCCAAGGACAAAACCAATACAGAAGTTCAGGAACAGAATTTTTTGTACCCAAATGGAAGCTGCATCTTCTTAGTGCGATCTCTCAGCCATGGCATCAGTTGAGGCAGGTACCGAGAGGTAACCCTCATTTCAGACCGCAGGGTTGAAACCGGGAAGACCAGTCGAGAGAACGAGAACTAGACCCTGATGGAAGCGGGACAAAACCCGCCTTCGGGCGACCGTTACCGCCGCGACGCGGCCCGCGGGCGCCATCTTGTGGGCAGGCGGCCATTAGCCGCGGGCGCGCCGGTCACGTCCCCCTTCTCCTGAGGGGGCTCCCGGGCGGCCGGGCCGATCGGTACGGCCGGCGCTGCGGAGCGCGCGGGCCCCGCCGGTCGGAGCGGCGGCGGCTGCCGGCCCCAGGGTGCCCTGAGGGGGCTCATGTCGGGGGCGCTGGCGGCTGTTTCCAGCACAGCGCCCAACAGTGACCTGAGTGCACGAGTTGTGGGGGCGTGACGGCTCCGAGGCTTTCAGAATTCCCTTGTTTCCCCTTTCTCTCCGAGCACTTGATTTACGGATGAAAGACTTCGCAACTCAGGGTTGTAAAGCAGGTATGCTTATTCGGCGCCGGGCGCACGGCGGAACGCTCCCCCGCAACAAGCGTGCGCGCCCCCCTGCCGTTCTAGTCTTGCTTATATGTTACAGTGTGTTGCGTATTCATGAGACGCGTATACATATTCATAACCTATTCCCGCCTACCCTCGCTTCTTATTATAATTAGGTCTCCTCCTCCTTGCGGCTGCGCAGTGAGCTCCTTTGGTCCGGGGCAGGGGTCGTGAAGAGCTGGGCAGTGGTCGGGGCAGGAAGTATCTCCTCTACCTCACTGCTGGACTTTTCATCCTGAATTCCTGCGCAGTCTCTGTCGCCTCCTGGACCCGGGCTAAACCGCAGAGCGGGTTTGTGCCGGTTGGGAGGTGATATTTTGCTTGTTGTCCTTTCAGTGCTGTGTCTTAGGCCATAGTTTAATGGCATGTTGCATGACTGATCTGACGCAGGAACCTAGCAGATAAACTCTGCTATCGGCAGGGATCGCCAACGTGATCCAGGAAGGCTCATCCTTGGGCTTTTTTCCGTTCCTCATCCCGGAAGAAAAGTTTATGCTAGCAATGTTGTCAAAGGGCAAAATCTTTTTAATGTGATCTCTCAGCCATGGCATCAGTTGAGGCACGTGCCAAGAGGTAACCGTCATTTCAGACCGCAGGGTTGAAACTGGGAAGACCAGTCGAGAGAACAAGAACGAGACCCTGATGGAAGTGGGACAAAGCCTGCCTTTGTGCGACCGTGGCCGCTGCGCCCCAGCCTGCAGGCGCCATTTTCTGGGCAGGCGGCCATTAGCTGCGGGCGAGCTGGTCACGTCCCCCTTCTCCTGAGGGGGGTCCCGGGCGGCTGAGGCCTGCGGGAGCGTGGGGCGCGGCTGGTGAGCTCCCAGCCCCGCTCTGCAGACGGTGCCTGTGTTGGTAGCAGCAGGTTCGTTGTGTCAGCGCTGCGCTGAGGGTGCCCGAGGATCCCGCCTGTCCCCGCGGCGCTGGGTGGCGGTGGTTCCGCCTGCTCTCCAGGGGTGCACGGCCTCGAGGGGCCACAAATCCCCAGCCAGGACCCGCCGCGTCCCAGGGTCTGGTGGGACACAGCGGCTGTGAGGCTGCCGCACGTCCAGGGACAGCATGGTGTGGTGTTCTTGGGAAGATGCGCATTGCAGCGCCTACCTACTGCTTGCTGCAGGCGTTGCCCCGGCTGGCCGTCGGCAGCTGTCAGGCAGCCTGTTCCTCATCGCAGAGCGTGCTTCGGTGGGAGGCCGGGACGAAGGCAAACGCCGGTTAACGGACGAGCTCAAACGTAAGGACGTAATCGTATGTCACCACAGGAAGAAATGCATCAGTGAAGCTGTGGTAGTGATACAGGGCCTAGATAGGAACAGGGGATGTAAGGGTTAATATGGGAATAGCAAGAAGGGGATGACAAGGGAAATAGTCGAGATAAGAGTTTTTAGATCGTACAAGATAGATAGTGCTGTGTTTGTGTTGCTCGACCACTATCTCCTGTTTAAGTAAAAAGCCTCCTCCACCCCTGAGTAAGTGAAGATTACCCCACAACCGGCACAAACCTGCTCTGCGGGTCCAGGGGATGACAGAGACTGCGCAGGAATTCGGGGTGAAAAGTTCAGCACTAAGGAAGAGGAGATACTTCCTCCCACGACCACCGCCCAGTCCTTCACGACCCCTGCCCAGGACAAAGGAACTCACTGCGCAGACTCAACTGGGAGGAGATCATGGAAATGCTAATTTTAATACGAAGAGGGGATAGGTGATGCATATGTATAGGCGTATTGCGAAATATTATGAATATGTAATCATTTGCTCTATAAATCTAAGGCAACGGTGCCACATGGCAGCACACACATTAGGAGGAGCGATCCCCTGTGTGCCCAGTGCTGAATAAACTTACCTACTTTACAATCTATCAGATTGTGGAGTCTGTTTTCCGCAATTCAGTAGGGACGCAGCGATGCGTTTGAAGTCCTCTACATCTGCGCTGAGGTGAATTTCATGTGTTTTCGTTGTTTTTTTAGTTTTTAGTTTTTGGTGGTGTTTTTTTGGTTTTTTTAACAAGTAATTTAATGTCTGTTTCTCTCCCTTAGATATGGACCTAACTTGCAAAGCAAATGTGGAAAATGTCTGCAAGCATGGGACTGAAAGAGATGACACTTGGGGAGGGAAGTCTGTGAGACGGTCAGTTTGCTGCTGCTGCCACTGATGGGGAGGTGAGGGCAGGGAAAAGCTGCTGCTGTTGGATGGGGGAACCTTTTCAACAGCAGTGCTTTGTGCGTGCTCTGACCTTCTCTCAGTGGTAACGTGATGGCTGGGTTTCTTTTGCAGCCTCTTGAGGGTCGTGGTACCATCTCAGAGCAACGACCCAAGGAGGCAGCTGACTTCTGTCAAAGTCCCTGTTCTCTGTTGACCAAAGGCATTGCACCGGCTGGTGAGATTTCTTCTTCCCCCTTCCTCTTCCCTTTCCCTGCTTCCCAGGGGAATCGGATGATTAAGTGATGGAGACTTAAGTAATAGCAACGATCATCAGCAAGACTCAGAAAGAGAACTGCAGTGCAAAACAAACAAACTTTCAGCAGGAACCCATTTTTAATATACTCTGCAGCACGTTTAATAATGTAATTCTCCAGTGCATCTGCATGTTTCACTATACTTGTGAAGGAGAAGAAACACTGGCTCATGCAAAATTGCTCTGAAGCATTCATTGATACACCGAAAATTCAGCAGGCCTACACCAAGTTATGATGTTGGGCTTTTTATGGGTAATTTGATGCAAAGGAGAAACTTTTTTCTTTCATGCGTGCAGATTTTGTCGAAGGTGGTGACTCTTGGTTTTGTGAAGATAAACTTCTTGCCTTTTCGAGCATAGACGCGCCTCTGACCTTATCTCCAGAATAGCAATAGAATTTATTAACACGATGTGGGGCCCCATGTGAACTGGAATACCTTTGCTTCACTTGCTTCGGTTTTGTGTCTTTGCTCATTTCTAAAGGGGGGAAAATAACAATTTTCTGATAGTTTTGTCTGTTGCTTCCGGTCTTGTGAAACTAATGGTAAAATATTCGAAGTGTTAATCTTTAGGTGCATTTTTTTTTTCTACAGTCTGCCAAATTCTGTTAGCTAAAACACGGCCAAAAAGTCACACTAAGCATGAGAAAAGACAATGGAGTAACCTTTGCCAGCTGCTGTATAGAACACCAACTTTTGTACAGCTTGGAGAAAAAATGGAGTATCAACTCCCTGGGAGAAGAAAAAAAGGAGCATTTGATGCTTTGATGGTGAGAGAGGAGCTATGAACAATCTCTCATTTCAGTTAAAAATTGTTTATACTCCTGATTTACTCGCTGGAGATACCACAGTATCACTAACAACTCTTTGGTACCGTTTGTGACAACTGATAATTGAACTGCTTTAAAATGGGAGTGACAGTTCATCTCAGCCGTGACACAGAGCAGGCTGTGGTGTTCTCTGCAGCAAGGAGCCGCTGCATGGGCAAGGGAGAACTGTTGAAGCTGCTTCTCCTCAACTTCCACTGGCAGACAGGGATGTCGCCAGAAATCAGCAAAACCAGGGCCGGGCCAGCAGCTGGGGCAAGTGCAGGCTCCAAGGGCACTTGGAGGCCCTTGTTAGTAACCTGAGAGTAAAAGAATAAAGAAACCTCTGACAACTGCAGGAAAAGTCTTAGTCTCTCATGACTGCAAGCAGTGCAGCTGGCGTCGCTATTGCTGCCACCCGTCACGGTTTCTCCTCCTTCTCCTGGTGCTCTACTCACCTTTCCCCTCGTGTTTCCATTGCTTGTGTCCCTCTCCCGTCTACAGTTATCCCACCATCTTTCTTTCCTGCTTTCTTAAATGGTACTGTTTTCTTCTATTATTCTCATAGTGTTCTGTCTCTTGTTGTTTTAGAGGGATTCTGTTATATTTCCAGAGAGCTTCCTTCCTCTCCAGGTACTTAATGCAGATGCCACTTTTGGCTTGGACACATCCTCTAGCTTTTCATATTGTCTCAGCAGAGCAGCCATGGGACGAGCTGAATGATGCTGGTTTGATGCTTGTGTCAGTCTCCGCAAGCTCTGCTTAAAACCACATGAACTCCTTGCAAGCACAGAAAACCCGTGTGTAGGCCATAAGTAGGTGTAACACAGGCGTTATCTCCCTTTGTTTAAAAACAAGGTATTGATGACTTGCCTTAAAGAGTGACCTGTGTGAACCGACTCTACTTAGGTGAAGTTCACTTTGCACTATTAATGTTCCCAGTATTTGTAAGGCTTTTTAAATTGTAACTTTATTATATAAATGGTCTCACAGAAATTCCAAAGCAGTACAGGCTCATGTTTAAAATTATCGGACCTCAACTCCCCATACCTTGTTCTTTCTGCTGTCTCACTACATTATTCACATGGAATAGTATTCACTTCCCAGGAATTACTTTTGGAATAAACTAACAGTATGCCAACAGGGCTCGTAGAAATACCTGTAAGAACTAATTTTTCATAGTCTTTACTCTTCCCGAATATTGATTCAGTGATATTTTCCATCATTCTGCTTACCCAAATGGTGCTGAGGAGCAAAGACTGTGGAAATAGTTTCTTACGCTCTGCTGGGCTCAAACTGACAGGGTTTGATAAGGGGTAGAAGGAGGAAGGGACGTCAAAGGAAGCTGAAGCTGAGACGGATCATGGTGTACAGAACTAAGGTAATGCATCCAGAGTAGCCCAAATATGTAGCAAGCACTGTGTCTTCTGAGTCTCAGTCCAAAACTTCAACTAGAAAATTAACCTTTGCATTTTCAGTGGAGGCAGAACCCAGCTTTTATAGAGACAAAGAAATTGTGAGAAATGAACTGTTTTCATTCCCCTCAAAGTTACCTTGGAACTTGTATCAGTGTTGCAGCATATATGAATGGGATTAATACAAATATACCAGAAACGAATAAGGGAGAAAAGGCTGGGGGGGAGGAACTGTTTTGTTGTGTGTGTTTGTTTTGTTTTGTTTTGGTTTGTTTTGTTTTGTTTTACCAAGGCTTTTGTTGAATACTTTTGTTCAAGAACTTAGAAAAGATTAAAAAAATAACGTCTTTTGGATTATCAAAGTGTGGGAATGGAGCTGCTTTTACATCCAGAGCTGTTTAAGAGTTTGCTTTTACCTGGCATCATGCCTTTGAGCATTTGCATAAGACTTTGATCTAAGTGTCTGGACAGGGCACAGTGGACGGCTGCCTGGACATTATCATTAAGTATTCTGTATTTGTTCTCTCAGCTGCTTGTTTTGCATTCTAACACACTGTTATTTTTCACACAGTTCCCATCCCCCAGGCAGACACTGGCACAGGGGAATCCTTCCTGCAAGTATCACTGAGCAAAGGTTTCTAAGAGCAAAAGCAAACATTTATTTGACACTTTCTGTAAAACTGCATTTGCACACTTCTTTGCAAAACAGTTTCCTTATGCTGCCAACTCCACCAAGTAAAAATGTTTATTTTGAAATTCACTTCATAACTTTCTCTCAGAGATTTAATTAGAGAAAATGGTATCAAGAGGTCTGCACCGATCCCAGGATAAGATGATTTTTAACTGGGGAGCTGTTGTGGAAGTTTTCCTTTGCCAGCTTCCCTGAGTTCCTTGCAGACTCTGTCCTCCAGCATCTAGCAGCCTGTAGACAGAAACGAATACTTCTGGAGAAAGTAAAAGCTATTAGCAAATTACTGGAACATTAGCCAAGTTACAGAATTCACAATCAGTTACATTTGTGCTTTCTCTTCTGAGTGCTGGGAGGCGTGTGGAGGTCTTGATAACAAATGTGAGGCTGTTTCAAAGAGATTACTCGGAATAAAGAAGTGTCAGTGGCAGAATACTTCCAAGGAGAATATATATCTCCTTGATACAAGAAGTGAGATGTCAGAAATAGACACGGCAAAGTATGACAAATTGAAACGCATGAGATTAAATGAGTGATGAAATGAGTAAATTTTCTCCATTAGCTTGCCTATTTAGGAAGGACACACCTAAGTAAGAAATAAACTGCCAAGCCACAGTACTGTAAAAATGTGAATGCCTGTGCCAGGGATGTGTGTCACCTTATGCCAAATTAGATGTATGAGCAATAAGTAGGGCAGGGGCAGATTAGCAGAACAGGCAGAGAAAGCAGCTCTCGTTTTCCTTTCTCGCAGGGAGGCTCATATTGCATATGCTAGCAGGTGAAACTGATATCATAATACAAGCAGACACACGCTGCAAAAGAGAAATCTAGCCACAAATAATTAAGTCATTTAATTATCCTTTTTTTTTTTTTTTTTTTTTTTTAATTTTTAGATGACACTACCTTGCAGTATTTTGACCTGGCATGGGTCAAAACAAGCAAAAGAAATTGGAGCAGAGTTGAATGGAAAAGTTGCTTCTGATGTTCTGACGAGGGGTTTCCAAAGCCCTCAGCATCTTTCTGATGACAGCAGTGGTGGATGCTGCCTGACTGAGTTACCTGTGGCAAACTGAAGTTTGAATGAGGATTAAGCAGAATAGTAACGTGCTTCGAAGGAGAAAGCTTTGGAAGAAAATTGCCCATGAAAGAGATCTAGAACAAACAGGAAACAGTGGGAACCCTGCGGGGCTGGTACTCTCTACCCTCCGGCCCGTGTTTTTATAAAAACTGAAATGCCTGTGAAGGTAATTCTTAGTATTTTAGCCGTTACTGGCCAAGTGGGTAAAAGGAAGTCCTGTGGCAAGGCTACAGCAGTAGGCAAAGGCATCTTTGTCCTCTCCTGAGAGCCAGCCAAACAAGTCGCTTCAGTCGTCACCACTACCTTACATCTCCCAGTGACTCAGTCTCTTAAAGGAGAACAATATTATCAGCTCAGAGCAGGTGAGATTTACAAAGCATTATTGTACTGCTCTCAGCCTGTGCTGTAGGAAACAACAGCATTTCGGGCTGGGGCTGTATTACCACATTAGCTGAAGGTTTGACTCGGGGTCTCAGCTCAACCCCACTCCTTACACTTTGCTTTAGCACTAGTCTGGCACAGGCAGCTGGCTTCAGGCCTGAGGTTTGTCTCACCTTTGAGCTGCACAAAGCGGGTGAAGGCATGGATGCTGACAGTCAGCCCAAGGGCAGGTTTTCTTTTTAAATGCTCCTCTCGGATACTTTGGAGGAAGGAGCTTCCATCAAGCCAAGTTTATTAAACTTTAGAAAGCACGGAGAAGTCTTTGAAACGGAAGAAGTTCTACTAATCTGGTAAATGAGTGTTATTATTTCCACACTTCTGATCACTGGGAGTTTATAAAAAATCAGATAGGTGTGGTCCTGCTTTGGAAGGGAAGAGGATGCAGGAAGAACAGCATTGCACAGCGGCATGCCATTTTCACAGTCATTTAATGAAGAGCATGGTTACCACGTTGGGTTGCTAACAGAGGATCATAACTCCTTTCATTTTCATGTTTTGGTGGCTTGGGCATGTCTCTACAAATGAGAAAGCCACCCGTGCCCTGGGCTGCAGCCAGAGCAGGGGGGGCAGCAGGGCCAGGGAGGGGATTCTCCCCCTCTGCTCCGCTCTGGGGAGACCCCCCTGCAGTGCTGGGGCCAGCTCGGGGGCCCCCAACAGCAGAAGGACCCGGAGCTGCTCGAGCGGGGCCAGAGGAGGCCACGGAGATGCTGGGGGAGCTGGAGCAGCTCCCCTGGGGGGCCGGGCTGAGAGAGTTGGGGGGGGTCAGCCTGGAGAAGAGAAGGCTCCGGGGGGACCCTGAGAGTGGCCTCCCAGGGCTTAAAGGGGGGACAGGGAAGAGGGGGAGGGACTCTGGATCAGGGGGTGTGGGAATAGGATAAGGGCTAACAGTTTTAAACTGAAAGAGGGCAGATTTAGGTGAGATGTAAGGCAGAAATTGTTCCCTGTGGGGGGGGTGAGGCGCTGGCCCAGGGTGCCCAGAGCAGCTGTGGCTGCCCCCTCCCTGGAAGGGTTCAAGGCCAGGTTGGACGGGGCTGGGAGCCCCCTGGGCTGGGGGAAGGGGCCCTGCCTGGGGCAGGGGTGTGGGACTAGGTGATCTTTAAGGTCCCTTCCAACCCAAACCATTCTATGATTCTACAAAAGGAAAACAAGGGGCACACCTCCTCGGATATCAGGTGTGGTTTTTACTAGCGGGTTACACAAAGTTCCCACAGACAAGAAACTCTTGGAAATTATCCCATCACTGAAAGCTGACGACAGCCCTTTGGTCCTGTGCTGGTCTCTGTCACGTAAGCAATGGGGTCGAGGCTGCCTGTCCACAAGAGCAATGTGGTGATTCCTCAGGAGCAGTAGTGCTGATGCAGCCTGTTCTTAAAAACAAGGTGTGCTGTGGGGTGATGCTGTGCATATGTAGCGTGCATGTGCAGATACTCTGTGCTGTTTCCATGGTCAAAAGGGGCAGAAGATTGCATATGCTTCGTTTAGACGCTTCCTGACCTGCAGTTCAGAACCTGCCCTGAACTCTTTCCTTGATGAACTGGGTCTAATGGTCTATGATTTAATTTTACTGCAGATTAGATATTGACAACCTGTAACCGTTACTCTCTGCTGACACCCTGATAAATGTTTATGGCTTGATGTGTAGAATGTGAGATGAGCTGTCTTCCTTAACATTACCGTGAAAGCAGAAAATAAACCATTGGGGAGGAGATTATGGTGAACAGCATATCACTGTGAATGTTACCACATTGTGCTAATTAGATGTGGAAGTTGTGATGGTTTTTGTGATGCATATAAATAATTTGTTTGCCTTTCAAAGCTTTTGTGGAACAGATATCCTGCTGAGATTAAGCCATTTGCACAAATACAGAACAAAATATCTTGCTCTACTTTTCATTTCATGGTATTGAAAGCTAGTCAGGCACCTTTGTGTAGCACTGAGAAAAAAAAAAAAATCTCATATGAATTTTGCTGGATTAAATAGCAAATGCAACCCTTGGCATGAACATGTGGACTCATGGCATAAATGTGCACTCTGTTAATTGCAGTGGTGTTATGTAGATGGTTATATCAATCTCTAATGCAGCCAAGGGTTCAGGGATCCACTTCCCATAGGAGGAATGATGACAAGGAAACAAAACAACCCTGGAATAAAGTATCATATCTTGAGAGCTGTTCTCCAGACTGCAGAAAGGGGATAAAAATACTTTTACCTGGGTACTCCCTTTTCACATGTTCCTGGCAGTGTTGGAAAATATGTGTGATTGCTGCTTTGAAGACAACCTCTAAGGAAGTTACAGAAGGGGCGAACATCCATGCTCTGCTCAAAGGCAGCTCCCTTGATCTGGCACCTGCTGCCACCTCTGTGACCAGATCT